AAGCTGGGATACAACAGAGCGTCAAAACAAAGTGAGGTTAAGCACGGAGAGAGTTGACAGAAGCGATGTTAACAGCGCCTCCTCAGAGCGATAACAGGGTTGTGTCGAACGATAACAGGGTTGGCGACTAGGGAACGTAAAAATTACGCGTCAAATAAACTATCCGGCCTGAACGAGAGGGAATCCGGTGATGATAGGCCAGACATCATATATTATATATAAAAAAGACATGTAACGAACTAAAAACGTTACACTCTTTTAAATTTTTATAAGAAAAAAATTATACTTATAATAATTTTTAAATTATTTTTTGGGGAAAATTTCCTTTATCTCATTTTTACACTTTTCACGTAAGGATAGACTAGGATGTGTCAAGTTGTTTTCTCGATTTAAAATTTTGTCAGCGTTAACATCTAGTCAGAAAAATGCACAAAAAATAATAATTTAAGTTTTTACTAATCATAACGTAAATAAATGTTTACTTTGTATCTAAATATAAGTCAATATTCTTTTAATAATATATACCGGGTGCGTCTCAAAAGTGGCTCACCCCTATAACTTTTTTATTTTTTCAGATAAAAAAACGAGGTTTGGTATGTTAATATATGACATAAATTAGGATTGATTGGTGTATTCAACTGTTTTTGGCCACTTCCTGTCTCACCGGAAATGACTATAACTTTTGATTTTTAAATGACACCCTCGGTATTTTTTTACTTTATTCTTTAGAAAATTACATTCTGAATAGAATGACATATCATATGTCAAATTTTGACATTTTCGCTGACATTCTTTGTTTTTTCGGTTTTTTTTTCTTCCTTTTATTGCTTATTTAAATATTTTACATCGCTATTAAATTTTATATTTTTATCCTAGCCGCAAACCCAAAAAACAACAAATAAAACTTTTTATATTTTCATTTATAATAATAATAAATAATACACAATGGCCCGTCGAAAGTTAAACAGAAACCAGAGGCAAAGAAAACGATCAAGAAAATAAGAAAAAATTTACGAAGCTCTGTCTTGACGATATAAACATAAACAGCTCCAGCCCACCAGTGACACCAACAATCGACTTATCGTTTCTAAGTCCTAAGTTCTTCAACAAAGAACAAGACCAAATTGACAGATTTAGAAAAGACATATAGAATTATTTGAAGAAGAAATAGACGTCCATCCGTGACTCAAGAGTCCCGGGCAATATGTGTAATCACGAGTAATTAGACATAAATTGTGATTCCTGGAGACATTAATTTTATTTTATATTTATATATTGTTGAATTATTTTTATAGTGATTTGTATATTATTTAATTAGTTTACATTTACATAATTAATATTCTTTTAACTATTTTTACATTAAATGTATATTTATTTAAATATAAAAGTTTTGACGAAAATTTATCAGTATCTTTATCCAACATATACCATTACACATACACCCTAAATATCTATTAAACTGAACATCACAAATCTATCACTTGCAAAATATTATTTAAAATGTTTCATATAATAATTAAACATTAAACTCATAAATACAACAAAAAGTGTTAAAAAACTTGCTTTAATAACTAGGTACTTAAAACCTCTACTGAACTCTCCCACAAAAGAAAATTAATGATTTTAAACCAAAAGTGCCAAAACTTTAAGCTTTACACGTACAACATACGTTTTGGTTTGTTTACATACTTAAAAAAGATTTTGGGAACCCTCTTCCGCTTCCGGCGCTGTCTATTACGACTTGCCTTGCACGCCACAGTGCCGATTGTCCGTTCACAAAAAAAGCTTAATCCGTTATTCTATAGATGTCACTGGCTTATTGATTTGAGTTTAATTTTGGTTAAAGTTGCATTTCTAATCAATTTGCGGGCCAAGTTAAATTTCGGCACGACTCAAAAATCTGATCGCCAATTCGAGTGGCATTTTTAATAGCCTAAATTTCGTGGTCGCACATGCGCGTTGTATGCCGAGATATATCATCAGCTGTCATCACTGTCATCAGTTATCAGTAATTTTATTTTGATTTCGAGTGCACGCGTGTTTAAAATAAGTTTTTGTTTTTATTATTATGGCTTCAACAGATGAAATAAATGATGAATTTCTATTACAATGTGTGGCAAACTACAAACCCTTGTATGATAAGGGGGATAAAGGGTACAAATCCATAATCTAAAAAGAAAATTGTTGGGCATCGGTAGCAAGATCGTTAAATAATTCAGGTAAAAAACGATATTGTTTTATTATTTCCAAATTTAAGTATTGTGCTGATGTTTTAGTTTAGGCTGTAAAGGCAAGGCTTAAGGCCTTAAGAGAAAAATACAGGAGAGAACTCATAATTGAGGAAAAATTAAAAAGAAGTGGCGCACCAGCCTCCACAAGACCGGTATGGCCACTTTTAAGCTTTTTTAAGTTTATGTATAAATGTGGTACAGAACAACAAAGGGCCACCACATCAAATTTTGAATTGGATACTGTGGATAATGAGACCAGCAATGAACCAAATACTGATTCTTATGGCACGGATGATTACTCAGAACTAATAGAGATTGTTCATGTAAATACAGAAATGCCTACAGGTAATATTGTAACACCAACAAGTGGGGTTGCAACAAGTTCAGCGTCCAGCATTCAGACTGGTGACGAGCGGTGGAAAAAAAAGAGGCTTACTTATGGGGCAACCAAAGAAATAGATTCTATACTAACTGATGTTTTAGAAGCAATTAAAAATATAAATCAAAGGCAAGCTGTACCAAAAGCAGATAAATATGAGTGTTTTGCACAATATCTAAAAACAGACTTGCATGAAATTGGGGAGCCACATGGTACAATTTTGTTTGAAGAAATTCAACTCCTCATAGTTAATTATAAAAGATCCCTTCGGGATAAGAATTTATAATTCAAATGTGTTTTTGCAATATTTAGTTTAGTGAGTTTTTATTGATAGGTAAAATTTACAATGCATAGGTTAATTTTCTAGTTAAGTTTTGTTTTTTAATTTAGTTTTATATAAAACCTACCTAAATATATTTTATATTATATATTACACATTATATAAGTAGGAATAAATAAACATTTTTTTGTTTTTTACTTGAAAATATCCTAATAAAACATTACAACCAATAACAATATGTAAATAATTATTATGTAAAAAATATTAACAAATAAAGTTAATAAAGACACCATTATGTTGCCTTATTATTTGCAGAAAAAGTGGAAATAATAAAGTCTTCGTTGTGGTCTTATACCAACTGAATTTTGTACGGGTAGAACTTGTGTTTTTTTAATATCCTTTGGACAATTGTACGATTCACGTCGGTCTCTAACTAGTTTTTAATATTTTTTTTTGGGGAACGTTAGAAATGCTGAGAGGGTAGAAAATTCTGGACAAGACAGCGGCGGAATTTTGAATGCGAGTGGTCAGGCAATTGGAGTAAGTATCAGATTATTTTATTTACATAAATAAAATATCCATAATATTTATATAGCAATTCACTAATACGAAAAAAAATTTATCCAATATTTTATTACTATTATCATAATTATGAGTAATAATATTAAAATTTATATAGCATTTTATGGTTATACAGAAAACAGCTGGAACGACATATATTTCTTTGAATCGTTTGAGCATTGTTGGTATAAATTGCATCTTCTTGTTCTAAAATCTAGAAAAAAATTAATGTAATCATCTCATCACTAGAATGACAATTTTCTCAATTTTTATAGACATTTTGTAAATATTTTTAGTAATAAGTAGTAATTACATACATTATTAGACAAACGTACATTTTATTTATCCAATATCAATATTCAAATAATTAATATCCTATATACGCATTCATTCAGTAATTTTTTTTTCTTCTCATAAAATTAAATATTTTAGTTTTTCTGTAAATTTATAGAATAATTTGTATTAAAAAAATGTACTTTGTAGCCATGTCAATGAGTAAGAAGTAAAGCTATCAAAATTGCATCTCAATCTGTTTTAATTTTTTTGAGGTATAGTGAAGATGAGCAATTATTCAATTATCTATTTGTAATTATGTAGAAAAAGAAGATGGTATAATAAATCGTGTATTTACGTATATTATATTGTTTTTATATATTTTAGTTTGAAAACGGAAACGAAAGAAACCAAGTGGAGGAGCCTAATGTAGGTTTGCCCCCTGGTGGCCAAGGTCAACCAAATCTTGTCGTCCAATTGGATAGGTTGAACTTGGCCCAATTAAACAATATCATCAACAATAATTCTAATCGACCAAATACTGACAATGTAGTTGAAGAGCGACAAGCTATTCAAACTGTTGTAAATCAGGCTGCGCGACGTCACGCTTTAATACCTACAAAACGCACCTACAATATCGCTTATACCGTGGGAAATCAAGAACAAGCAAGCAGAGGAGGTTACTCAAATGGATCGATGCGGAACTTTTACACATATATGTCCGTTTTGCAGCAGTGGATTTTTCGCGCGCGAATTGAAGAGTCCCATGGACCTTTCAATCCCGCGTATTTGAACTGTTGCGACAAGGGAGATATACGCGTTCCAATTCTAAATCGTTGTCCGGCATATGTGAAAAACCTTCTTATCCAAGAGTTCACAGTTTCGTGAGACTATCGGTCTTGCGAATTCGCTTTTCGCCCTGGCCTCTTTTAAAACATCTGTTCCGTATACGGCTAACCCACTCGGTGAGCAAGCTCACTGGTGTTATCTTCATTACTGTCTGCGGCCAGGTTTATCATCACGCCACGAACCTATCGGTGAAATCACGGCCGGTCGATTGCTGCACCACAATCAATATTATTTTATCGATTCGGCCGAAGCAATTGAACGTCTGACAACCGCGTGTCAGACGACATTATTGGGAACGTCGAAATCATGCTGCGTAGAGACAACGAGCTAATCCGGGCTTACGTAACAATGGGAGAGGTGATTGCGACAATGTCACAACGAAATGAGCCGTTGGATAATTTAGTAATTGGATTTCTGGACAATATTAATGAAGTGCGTCGACAGTAACGCTTTACCTGAAAGTCAATCCGAAATCGCAGCTGTCTGTAGGGGTGAGGTATCTAGAGAGGGCAATCTGAAGATTTATCCTCGTCGCGATGGTGTACCGCATCAAAATGAAATCAAAAATCTGGGCTGTTTCGCGGATCCCATAGTTTATCCTGTACTGTTTCCGTACGGCGACAGGGGATATAATACTGACATGCCGCGATTAAGTAATCCTCGCAAGACAATTACTTTCAGTGAGTTTTACCGATTCAGAATGATGTGTCGAGACCATTTTTCGATCATTCACAACGCAGGAAAACTCTTCCAACAGTATATTTATTGTTGATGTGTGGCTTAAAAACGGGGGCTTTCGCATGATGAACGCCCGGCGACGGACGCCCCATTTATCGGCGACTGGACGATGGTCGAACAATCGACGGCAGAATTTATAATAGTCGAATCGTGCCTTACAAACGATACGCCACCCTCAAGTACAGGTGTCATATCAACTTTGAAGTTTGCGGGTGTTTATCCTCCATAAAGTACCTCTTTAAATACGTGCACAAAGGAGTTAGCGTCACCATTAAGGTGCACGGGAAGTCGCGTAGCGGAATGGAACGAAATCCGCAACTACCAGGATTGTAGGTACATGAGTTCAATGGAGGCGGCTTGGAGGCTGTTAGAATTCCCATTAAATCGGAGGTCCGATTCGGTTGTGTGTCTACCAATTCATTTGCCTCTGGAACAGGACATCATTTTTGATCCATATATGGATGAACAGAGCAATTTTTAGCCCGTCAGTCAAAATTGATGGCATATTTTGATCAAAATGACATCGGTTGAGGCTCATCAGTTCAAATATGTCGATATTCCGGAACATTTTGTCCTGCAGAATCGGAACGCGTCTTGGATCGCACGCACCGGAAGGCGGACTAAAGTTGTTGGCGCAATTTGCGATCTGTCCCCTATTAACGTCGAACAGTTTCACTTAAGACTCTTACTGCAACACGTCCGAGCTGCCGTCGACGGTACCCTATGTGAGACATTTCAGGAGGCGTGCCGGAAATTAAGACTACTGCCTGATCTTCTTCTTAGTGTGCCGTATTCATTTAATGAATGTTGGCGACAATTCTGGCAAATTCGTCTCGATCTTGGGCGACTCTAAAGAGTGAATGGGCATCGAGACCAGTCCAGTCTCTGATGTTCTTAAGCCAAGAATACTTCTTTCTTCCGATGCCACGTTTTCCTTCAATCTTCCCCTCCATAATCAGTTTCATGGAATTGATATATTGGTTGTTTCTAAATTATGTGGCCCAAAGTAAGCTGTTTCGCTTTTATGTTAAAGCTATTTGATTGAATATAAGCAATCATTCTTTGCGCGCCGTTACCACCCCATTCGTCGCAGAACTTCGTCATTTCTCACGCGATCAGTCCAAGGAATCCTGAGCAATATTCGAAATATCCACATCTCAAAGGCCTCTAGTCGGTTCAAAGTTTTTGCCTTGAGGGTCCAGGTATCCACGCCATATAGTAGCATCTGAGAAACTAAAATCTATTTGACGTCATCCCCCTTAACTTAATATAAGTTATACGCTAGCCTTATGTCTATCTCAAAAACGGGCGGGCGAAAACAAATATCAAACTAAATCTAAACTAATATTCTATAATAAACGATGCTTAGTAGCTTGCTTACATGGCGTGCATAGTGGACTTATGTCTTTGACTCTGAGAAGAACTGTGAAATAACTACTTCGTGGCAAACAGAATTCCTCCGCTGAGCTTCGGAGTTTGTTACTCAGCCAATGGATGCTTTCGCTGAAGGTGCATACAGCAGCTCGTTAGCCTCTTCGACCCTGGTACCTGTGTGGAGTCCCTCGGTCGCGGAGATCGTACCATGGTTACCCTGGCAGGTTGTCTAGGACTATTCAACAGGTCGTCGCACATCTGAAACTCGTCTGGATCACTAGGCTACTAACATCTTGGTTGTCTGTGAGAAAGAGGCCTAATCCAGCCTTGAATTATACGGAAACACAAGGACTAGCACCACGTGTAGGAGTTAATAAGGTAATAAAGATGGACTAATCAATCTGAACTTTTACCTCAACGAGGAGTTTATGATGTTTCCAACGGAACTCTCCACACGGGCAACAGGAACGGATGGAAATCTGGACTGTTCTGTGCTGTACGGTCTGGATCGGTCATCTTGCTCTACAATTACGAACAACCAAATAAGACTTAAGAAAGATAACACTCAACTTATCTTTCTACACCACGTGGGCGTGGAAAAGTCGAAAACCAGGCAACAATACGAATAAAAATCACTTGAGCATTGACTTAGAATGGGCAGAAGAATTATAGCATACCTTGAAACTGTTTTCGGGACTTCTTGGGCACGTAGAATCGGAATATCGGTCGGAAAATTCGGCTATTTAATCCCTTGACGGAAATTTGGTCCAACCAAACCACGTCTCTGACCAAATATGTTTCGGAAACCTTAATCCTTCTTTACGAAGACCTGCTATTCACGAACAGGGAATGCTTCACGAAACGGCAGCCAGTTCTTCACGACGATATTCTGACGGTGGATACACAAGAATTGATGCAAGGATTCGATTTTCCTTCACCAAAAAAATCAGATTTCAACCGGAAATCTTCCTCCAGAATATAGATAGAGAACTATACGTATATCTTGACTAGTCCAACTCACAAAAAGGCATAAATAAAAATTGATGTCATCAGTAGTGATTTTTGGAGACAGTCATATTTCTGCTATTTCGCGGTCAATGGAACGACACGTAAACTCCAGGAAGATCTCCACAACCTCTTAGAAGATCTATTAGACAGTCGATTCAGGATGAGTTCATGAACGAATTGCACACCGCGATCCACATCAAAACTAAACCACAATTATACACTACGAAATATATTTTCATTCTTGAGATTATTCATCAGACATTTTAATAACCAAAACAAAGGATAAATAAATCCAAAAAAACCATTCTTGATTTGATCTGAACCATCTGAGACATGGTTGTACGGCATTATATAAGTGTAAATGATCACCGGAAAGAAGGAAAGAAATTCGCGCGCACACAATACGCGCTCTCCGCCGCCATACTGGCTTCGTGCGTTCCTACTCTAGTGACAATAATTGTTTGATGGCTTATGGGATAAGTGTTTCGAGGTAGTTGAGGCTCGCTAGCTCTGGTAAAATGCTACTCTCGTCTTTGCGGGTGTATGTTCGGTTGCATAATGGTAAATACTAAAATAAAATAATATTTACAATAAAATTATATCAGTAAAATGGATGCAAAATAATAGTTATTTGCCATAATTTATGAGCCAGCACACAGAGGTTGTAGCAGACAATGAATTTAATTTTTCCACCAATTATACATAAAAATCTGCTTAATTTAACTCTCCTAGGTATGCATATAACGACATTAAAGTCCTGTAAAATCGATTCGTTATTTTAAACTAACGATTTAATTGCAACTTAGAGGCGACGAGCGGCAATAATTACTGATAGATCTAACAGATAACTCGCCAGACAATTTAAGATTGCTGTTCGGCTTTGTATCTATGCCGATGCCATGCCATTCCAGGCCCTATCCCACTGCGATTCTAATAATAGACCGCTGCATAAACGTCCAACCT